ACCTGATGCTGCACATCAAACATCTAGAAAAAGAAGAGCAAGTCAAGCCCAAAGCCAAAAGAAGGGAGGACATTATAAAAATCAGAGCAGAAATTAATGCAATAGAGACTAAGAAAGCAATCCAAAGAATGAATGAAAGCGTTGGTTCTTTGAAAGAATAAATAAAATTGACAAGCCCCTAGCCAACCTTATGAAAAAAAGGGGAGAAAAGGTTCAAATTCGTGCAATAAGGAATGAAAAAGGCAAAATTATTACAGAGCCTGTAGAAACACAGAAGATAATCAACACCTATTTAGAAAACCTCTAGTCTCATAGGTTTGGTAACACAGAAGAAATGGACAGATTCCTAGAAATATATGAAGTACCAAGCTATGTCAAGAAGATGTAAAACTGCTGAATAACCCAATTTTCATTAATGAAGTTGAAAATGTAATTAAGTCCTTACCTACAAAGAGGAGCCCAGGCACAGACGAATTCACTGAAAAATTCTACAAGAAATACAAAGAAGACTTAATGCCAACACTCCTCAAACTCTTCAATGAAATTGAAAGGGAAGAAATCCTTCCTAAGTCATTCCTGGAAGCAAATATTACTGTAGTACCTGAGAAAGACCCAACTAAAAAAGAGAACTATAGTCCAGTCTCCTTAGTGAACACAGATGCAAAAATCCTCAATAAAGTATTGGCAAATAGGATGCAGCAAATCATCAAGAAGATTATACACCATGACCAAGTGGGATTCATCCCAGGCATGCAGGGATAGTCCATCATATGTAAATCAGTAAGTGTAATCCACCAAATCAATAAAGCCAAAAGTAAGAATAAATGATCATTTCTATAGATGCAGAAAAAGCTTTTGATAAGGTCCAATATTCATTCATGATAAGAACCTTACAGAGAATTCGAATAGATGGTCTTTACATCAATATGATAAAGACCGTCTATGACAAACCAACAGCCAGTATCATACTAAATGGCCAAAAACTGAAGGCCTTTATCTTAAAATCAGGCACAAGACAAGGATGTCCCTTATCACTGCTCCTATACAACATAGTACTGGAAATACTAGTCAGAGCAATAAGACAACAGAGAGAAATAAAATGGGTAAAAATAGGAAAAGCGGAAGTTAAATTATCATTATTTGCAGATGACATGGTACTCTACATCGAAGATTCCCAAAACTCCATTGAAAGTCTCCTAGATATAATAAATAAATTCAGCAATGTAGCTGGATACAAAATCAATATTCAAAAATCAATAGCATTCCTATACACTAACAACAGAATCACTGAGAGAGAAATAAGAGAAGCCACATCCTTCACACTAGCATCCAAGAAAATAAAATAATTAGGAATTAATCTCATGAAAGAAGTGAAAGACCTATACGGAGAAACTTATAATACCCTAAAGAAGAAATCAAAGAGGATCTCAGAAAATGAAAAGACATCCCTTGCTCATGGATAGGAAGAATAAATATTGTGAAAATGGTCATTCTCTCAAAACTGTTATACAGGTTCAGTACAATCCCAAGAAAAATACCATCAACATACCTCATAGATCTAGAGAAATCACTCCTAAAATTCATCTGGGACCAGAAGAGAGCTAGACTAGCAAACACAATTCTAAGCAGCAAAGGTGGGGCTGGGGATTTAGCTCAGTGGCATAAGGGCCTGCCTTGCAAGCAGGCAGTCGTGAGTTCGATCCCCAGTACCAATAAAAAGGAAAAAGACCAAAAAAAAAAAAAGAAAAACAAAAACAAAAAGAAACAAACAAAAAAACTAAGCAGCAAAGGCAAGGCAGGAGACATCACAATCCTGGACTTGAAGTTATACTACAAGCATCTGTAGTAAAATCAACATGGTACTGGAATAAAGACAAAGCTGAAGATCAATGGAATAGGTTAGAAGATACAACCGCAACTACCAACACACTTAACCACCTTTTCTTTTATAAAGGGGCCAAACAGGTTCACTGGAAGAGCAACAGTCTCTAATAAATGGTGCTGGAAAAACTGGCTCTCCATGTGCCAAAAACTAAAACTAGACCCATGCGATCACCATGCTATCATATTTAAATTAAAATCTAAATGGATTAAAGATCTGACTATTAAAACAGAAACACTACATCTGTTGGAAGACAAATTGGGTAAAAACCTCGAAGACATAGGGGTAGGTAGAGAATTCATGAACAGGAATCAAACTGCATGGGAAATACTTCCCAGAATCAGGAACTGGGATCACGTCTTATTAAAAAGTTTCCGCACATCAAAAGAAATCTCTAGCATAGTGAAAAGAAAACCCACAAACTGGGAAAAAATCTTAGTGAACTGCCTCTCAGACAAAGGACTAAAACATATAAAGAATTTAAAAAAATCAGACCCCCAAAATTCAAAGATCCAATCCAAAAATGGTTATCTGAGATGAATACACAGTTCTCAGATGAAATACAAATGGTAAATAAATACATGAAAAAATGTTCATCATCATTCTTCATTAGAGAAATGCAAATTAAAACCACACTGAAATTCCATCTCACTCCTGAAAGAATGGCCAGAATCAAGAAAACTACAAACAAGGAATGCTGGAGAGGCTGTGGGGAAAAAGGAACTCTCCTGCACTGTTGGTGGGAGTGCAGACTGGTGCAACCATTGTGGAAGTCAGTCAGGAGATTTCTCAGAAAGCTGGGATTGGAAGTCCCATTTGATCCAGCTATTCCACTTTTAAGCATATTCCCAGAAGAAGTGAAAGCATCATATCACAGTGATATATGTCTGCCCATGTTTATAGCAGCACAATTTGTAATAGCCAGATCTTGGAAACAACCTAAGTGTCCATCAACTGAGCAATGGGAAAAAAAGATGCAGTATTTTTATACAATGCAGTACTACTCAGCTATAAAGAAGGATCACATTGAAATACTTACAAATAAATGGATGCAGCTTCAGACCATACTCATAAGCGAAATAAATCAAGCTTACATGTATAAATACCGTATAGTTTCCCTAGTGCAAGAAATGATAAGAATACATAAAAGTATGTGGTAAACATGATTCCCCATTACATTGCTTTGAAACCTTATAATGTTTTCATTCATTAGTTGGAATGGTTTTATTCTGGGTTGTTTACTTTTATTGTCTGTGATGGTACAAACAGCTATTTTGAAGAAAACAAGACATTATAATAGCTAGTGCTGATTTTATAATCATCTTGTTTTGAAGTCCTACCAAGCTTTTGTTCTTCTGTTCTTCTGTTGTTCTTCTCCATTGGTTTATCATGTTGTATCTTATTGGATTTTATAATATGTGATAGTATAAACAAAATTTTTATGGATAAGGAGATAATAGAGATAATATAGTAACTATTGTTTATTTTCTGTTAGTTGGTTCTGAATACCCTGTAATACTTTCATTCTCTTGAATGGTTTTACAGTCTCTTGTTATGTTTGATACTATAGTGTGTGAAGGCATACTCAAATATTTGAGGAAAGAGACACTATAGTGAGAGCTACTGTTATATTGGGTTGTCTTGTGGTGAAATACTATGTTGTTTAAATTGTTCCATTCTGATCTGTTTTTTTATGTCCTCTTTTATCTTAATCTTTTTAAATAAATAATTTTAAAAAGATGCAAGTCCTCCCTTTAAAAGTATTCAAATATTCATAGGTTTCACTCCAAGCCTAAGGAGTCAGAATCTCTAAGGTTAGATTTACAAGATATGATTAAAATAGATGGTGAGTATTCCATTGTTTAAACAGTTAGTCCAGTAAAAGACACACTGTCATTAGTCCCTCTCAAAACACTCGCCTTACCTTTGAACAAACCCCCTCATTCTTGCCACTCTTCGAAGCAGTGCTGGAAGTCCTCTTTTGTGAGTAACATTATAAGGTGTGATGAACAATATAGAGACTACTGTTGTTAAGTGCCGTCCAACAGAAAGGCAGGCTCATAGAAACATGATAGTGTGCCCTCATTTTCTTTTTTTACCACATCTGGCACCATGTAAGTTCTGGTTCTTCTCCAAAGTTGAAATGACCATGAAAGATAAATGTTTTGAATCAATTCAAGATATCAAACCACTCACAATAGCACAACCAAAGGCACCAAAGAGGACTTCTAGAACTGCTTCAAAAGGTGAAGTGTGTTAGAAGTGGGGGGAATGTTTTGAAGAGCACTAATGACAATATATCTTCTACTATGATAATTAAAAAATTTATTGTATTTTTTTACTAAATGAGATTTTTTTTGTATGCCATTTAGCATTATACCTGGCCCCTAAAGCTCCTATTTGTAAAAACTGCTCATGATTCTTGCAATAAGTCAGACTATAATTTTTTTTTCTTGTGCAGAGTGTGGGACAGCAGAAGAGGCCAGAGCTAACGCAGGGTGGGTGCTGGTGGTGAAGGGAAGCTGAGGTGCCCTGGCTCCTGGCTTAGACCCTGGTAATGAATGTCTTCCCCACTTTTCCCTGCATACTACCTGGAGATCTTCTTCATGTATTAGAAACCTTAAACCAGCTGTTTTGTATGCTTTACAGGTAAACAGAGACTTAGTAGTCTAGAATTAGAAAACATTTTTTCTTTATGCATCACCAAAAAAAAAAAAAAAAAGCATCTAGAGAAAGGCTTCCTTGACCTATGTCTACTAAGTATTCAACATTATATCTCCTCTCTTTGACTCTCCTAGAATCTCATACAATGCTAGCAGGGTGTGGTGGTTCGTAATCTTAGCACTCTGGAGGATCATAGGTTCAAACCCAACATGGGAAATTTAGAGATTTAATGAGACCTTCTCTAAAAATAAAAAATAAGAAAGAATTGGGAATAAAGACTAGTAGGAAAGCCCTGGGTTCAATTTGTAGTACTACCAAAATCAATCAATCAATTTCACACTCTTTCTCAATTAGATGTTCTTTGTTAGGATAGGACTATATGCAGCTTATCATCATAACCTAATGACCCTTAGCCCACTGTATCAGTGGAAGGTAATTAAATGGGACACAGAGATAAATTGCTTAAGAAAACTTTATTGTTGCATTAGCGTAGGTGGATGACAGACAGATGGCAGATAAAAGTAGCTTTAAAGACCCTTACGAGCTGAGAGCTCAACAGAAATGGTTGACTTTTCCCAGTTTTTGAGAGTTTGCACAACAAAGCCACTTAAGAGAGGGGCATTTAAGAGAGCAAGCACCTTACAGAAATATTCTCTTTGAGAAAGAAATAAAGTGGAAGCATCATAATTAAAAGCTCATGTCCAAGGATGTGCCAACACCTCTCTGGCTGTCCCCTAGTATGGGGCACCAGAGTCAGACAGAGTCTTGGCTTGTTGGCTTTCATGGAGAATACAGTCTTGGCTGTGGTGATACTTCCTTCTCCACGGCTGCACTGCCTCCTAGCCCTGCACTGAAGGAGCGCTGGTGTGTGAGCTGTCCTGGTCCTTGCTGTGGATCACTACTTCTCTTGTGTGGTCATTGACCCACTCCTCTCTCACCTCTGTGGGCTCTCTCTCCTGCCTTCCAGTTATACTTGGTCGAGTGCTGCTCTGATGCTGTTTTCCTGTCCCAGTGCTTGCCCCAGTCTGAGCTTGTCCTTCTAGGCCTGAATGTCCTGTCTCACTTACTTCTGTCCATCTTTGGCTACTGCCTGACTGCATGTGGGTCTGTCCCTGACCTCTGTTCCCTCCATGACTTGAAGTCTGATTCCCGTCCTGTTCCACAGTCTGGCTGTATGACCCTGCCTGTGACTGCATGTATCCTTTCACAACCTCACTGGTCTGGTTTTTGTCTTGACCAATGGACCCAGTTCCTTTTATCTGGCCATGGGAAGACCCCTGTGTCTGGATGCTGGTGCTTCCTATCTGATGGCTCCTGTCTTGTTCTGTAGTTTGTGTTTGAGTCTGATTATGTGATCCTGCCTGTGCTTTGATGTGTCCTCCTGCCACAACCTGGCTGATCTCGCTCTTGTCTTGATTATGGGCCTCAGCCTGTCTGGTATGGCCATAGGCAGAGCCTTGTGTTTGGATGCTGGCACTTCCTGTTTGGTGATGTCTATCCTGTTCCACAGTCTGGGTTGTGCCTGTCTGTTTCTGTGATTTGGTTCCATGCATGATCTCACCTGTCTGTTTGCTGGTCTGTGACTGTCTCTCCGACCTCCTGTCTCTTATCTGATGACTCGCATTGTCTCCCACTTTCTGGGTCTGCTCCACATAACTGCTTCCTCGTGTCTGCTGGCTCACCTGCACCTGTCCGTGGGTATTGGCCTGCCTGTCATGGATGCTGATCTGAATCCCAGTGCTTCCTTGCTGTTGAGAAGCCTGCTCACTCTGCCCAGCACTGCTTCCTTCGTGATGCTGTCCCTTTCTATCTTGTCCCACTTCAGTGCCACTTCTCTGACCTTGCCTCAGCTCTTTTGAGAACCCAGTGTGCTGGCCCCCAGACTCTTGAGATCTGCAAGCTCCTCTGACAGTCTCACTTAATGTCTGAAAACAGGCTTGGGCAACTTTAAACACTAAGACTAGGAATTCTTTGAATTCTATAGTCCCTGTCTCATCTTCATCCAGCAGGCGCAGAACTTCATCCACAGTGGCTGGATCATGCGGTTTCTAGGGAGAAGGTGAGGCCAAGTCAGCATTCCTTTCCTGAAGAGGAAGTGGCTCACACATTCCACTTAGCTTTAAGCTTCTGCCTCTGTGGCCTGTGATCCCAAACCCTAGGACACCGTATTCTCCAGGCACACTGACGTAGCAGTGTTAGCACTTAATTGCCTGTATATTTTTGAATCCTGCCTCTCTCTTTAAAGGAAAGGAAGCACCTTTTGTTTGGTATGCACTATGCCGAGCACAGTTTCTGGATTATAGGACAATTGAATAAAGACATATTCAAGGATGAATAAATGTTCTCATAATACAACTTGCTGGCCTCTAAAGTTAATTCTTCCAACTGTCCTTGGCACCTTTCCTCTGGCATGAAAGAGCCTACAGGAAGCCCTACACAAAGGGAAGCATAGAGGAACCTGACCCATGGGAATTCTGAGGGTTCCTTACTGAGCAAAGGCTTCCCCAAAGTGCAGTAGGTAGGGATACAGTAGGATGATGGAATTGCTCTGAGAACACAGAGGCAGCACCCTGCTGTACCCATGCATCCTTGTGCCTGAGGATTTCATCTCCCTGAGTGCTTTAGAGATACGGAAATGCTCCCAGAATGTATCCCTCAACCCCTGCTGTTAATAACCTGTGCTCTAAAATCTCATTGGTGATATGATCAGTAAGCTAATTTTTGAGCAACTGCTTTATGCTTTTAATGAAAGCTTAATAGATGATCAAAAGTTAGCTAGACACAGAAATTGTTTACTGTATCAAATTTAAGAAGCAACTAAAAATAGCAATTATATATTTTCTAGAACATTTCAAGGATCTGCTCTTCCTTGAGTTAACCCTTTAGGATCCTTTAACCTTGTCTTCAAATTAGAATTAATTGAAACCAAGAACAACGCCCAAGAACTCAATTGTTTCCTCTAAGGACCAGGCTTGTTCTTTTCCATGACTGCCTCCTGTACTTTGGCATGTTTTTCTAGGCCTGGAGTGAGCTGTGGTCTCCTTGATCCCCAGACAAACAAGTTTTGCTGTCCTTCCTCTACCCCTCCCCACCTGGCTCACATCATACCACTATGACATCAGCAAACTCATGCTCCAGCAGTCTCTTCAGCTCCCCCCGGGTAAGAGCTGTGCAGCTGCCTTCCGTCCTGGCGTAGTGCCCAAAGGCCTCAATGATTCCATGAATATTTCGCAGTAGCTGAGGCATCTTTGAAGTCAACTGAAAAAGACAAAGGTCTCCCTTGAGGGTGCATAAGCAGCTTCCTCAGAGCATTTCTGCTCCTGTGTCCTTTGCTTACATTGAAGCTCTGCTTTTGGTCTTTGTCTTCTTTTGTCCTTTCCTCAAGAGTGCGCTTTATTTGTGGCGAGAAGAGTACACAGTGACTGGTAGCAGCTCCTGAGCCAGCAGTTAAATGCTATACTGTCATCTCCCTGCTATGTAGGCTGGGCCAAATTGTATTGTCTCTCAAGGCCTCAGTTTACTTATTGCAACTAAAGCTAACATTAGTACTTACTTGAAGGGTTATTGTGGACATTTAAAAAGATAATTCATTTAAAAAGCACTTGGAAAATACCTGGCTTACACTAAATGCTAGCTATTAAATATCATTATTGTGATTATATATGTTTGTACATAATTTGTGTTCATCTCTACACTAGCCTGCTCATGAAGCACTTTTCTATACCTCATCTCTTGTAATACTCATTATCTCTACATTTATAAGTGAGGAATCAAACTTAGAGAAGTTAGATGATTTGCCCAATACCACACAGCCTTTAAGGGACCAAGGGATGTTAGAACCCATCTCTTCTTAACCCAAATGCAATGAGTTTTCTAGAATGTACCCTGTGGACCGAAAACATTTTATTTGCCTATCACAAGGGTTTAGAGGCCTTATGGGAGCACAGGAAGGCAGTAAGTACACATAGGAGTCAATATCTGCCTTGGCTGGGAACCCATCAGGACTCCATGACCCAGCTCTGTTTTCTCGTGCCTTCTTTGGGGAATGCGCTCAGGAACAGGCTGAGCTACCAGCTGTTGAGAATGCTGGGAGGGGAGTGCCTTCCTCAGGTAAGGGCTGTTCAATTCTAAGTGTCTCCTTGTGTGACTTCTGCACCCAGCTCTGACGGGAGGTCAGCTTGCAAGACAGGCATGTAACTCTATTTGGCCTGCAGTTCTGGTGACCTATGAAGAAGATTCCCGATTAAAGGGTAAGAGATTCATTTTCATTCACCAGGAAATCTGGGGGTAGTTTAGAGGTGAATCTGGGATGTAACTGAATGCGTAAGAGGCCCAGGGACCAGGAAATACATTAAGCAGAAGCTTATGAGAGACCAAAGGGAAGAGAGAGTATTGAAGATGATAAGATTCAAGTACAAGGAGAGATGGAAGTTTTCCACAGCTGGACAGCCAGGGCAGGACTCTGGAGATGTAAAGAAGAGTGTGGAAAGAGAGTGGCATGGTTAGAGAAATGTGAAGTTGGGGAAAGAAAGAGATTTGAGTGCCCCAAAAATCAAGACTGTGTGGTCTGAAGGACTGAGGGGGTAAAGACCTCAGGTTGTCCATAATGCATCCCTTCTGTGACCTGGCAGCCAACAATTTCAGGTAGACTTCTTGTGTACATCAGAGGATTTAAATTCCTAACGTGGATAACTCCTCATTAGAGGTAAAAAATATGCCCTTTAAACCCTGAGGCAGACTTTAAGCAGTGACCTATAATAATAAGTTGGCGTTTTAGGTATACTTCAGATTTGTAGGATAAATCTACAAACTCATCTTGTCTAAATGATATGAAAGGGTAGGGTCTGAAGGTAGTGTATGTCCTATCTTCTCTGGGCCAACTTGAATCATTGTCTAGGTTGGCAGAAGTAAATTAATTCTGACCTCATGAACTCTCGGCACTACAAAGAACCATCTAGAACCCCAAGAAGAAGAGATATGCTGATCCAAGAGGACATGGGATAGCTACACTTCTGGAAGGTGTCATTTCCTAAAAGGTTCTGGCTACTGGTTTGCCTGAGTCGCAATCAAAGAAGGCACCTTCTGTCCCACATCCAGCAATATTGATGTACAGTTCATATCTAATTGCTTTGGTTTCATGAATTTCGATCTCCAAGACACTAATCATAAGAAAGGTTCCTCACCAGGGGACTTACCTAATGCCCAGGCAGGATGAGACAAATGGCTGTTAAGCAGCGTGTGGAGTACCAGGTCAGCGGGATAAGAACCTTTTATAGAGGATTTAGTCAAGCTGTGTTTTAGACAGGATATCCCCACCCTTCAGGAAAGCTTGATTCATTCAAGATCAGCCCAACCCAGCCCCACCTCCTCTGTTCTGTTTCATCTTCTGACCTGTGGCTGTTTTGTCTGTTAGCCAGCCTTTCCTATCATACTGGAAACGGTCTCTACTTGGGTCTATCCCCTTACGGGAAGCCCCTTTCCTATGTGCTGGGATTTTCAGTGTTCAGCACAGGTTAGGATTCCTGGTGGACATTTCTTTCTCCACAAATCTAAAAAAGTCACAGGACTCTATCTTTTTGTTTAAACATTTTAGAACACTGTCTATTGAGGGTTATTCTTTTCAAAGTGATTTTTCTGATGGTTTTATTACTTAGAACATTTTGTGATTCTTGCTTGAAATTAATTTTCATGCCTACTTTATAACACACAAGAAAGCTAGCAAGTCTCGTTTTTTTAATGGTTTAGTTTGGTCGCATTTTTATGATTTGGTCTCATTTTTTATCAAAACAAAAATAAATTTAACACCTCTTCCACGACTTGCTATGAATAGGTAACATTTTCCAGCTTGAGAGGGAAGAGGCTTAACACGATTGCTTACAACTTCATTGGAAAGACAAGGAATTCAACTGGCTGGCCAATCAACAAATATTTATGGGAAGCTTGCTCCCTTTCAGACATAGGTCTAAGGTCCTGACGTTACTCTCACAGAGTTTACAGCCTGGAAGTCTCTGTCCCCAAGAAGTTAATTAGTAATTAGTATTTTATTGTCATTATCATCTCATTTTGTCTGATCCTCATGACAATCAGGTGTTATGGATAAGCCCATTTTCCAAAACGAGGACACTAAGAAATATTCAGAGAAGGAGCGAAGAGGTTGGACCAGAGTCCTTCAGACTTTGGGCCCCATTCTTCTCTACTGTAGGAAACTGCTACTTATTCTCTCACTGACTTTTGACACTTTGCAAATATCAAACTTTGCTTCCATGCAAGAATAGCCATGATCATTGAGAATGCAACATTCTGATCTCTGATAGTATGTTCCCAAGGGAGTTTTTCAAGAAGCTATGTAGTCTCTCATGACTCTGGATGATGACCACCATCTTTGCCACCCTCATTTATACATCAGCATGTACCTGTTGGAGACCACTATGAAGCGGCTTTGAGCAGGATTTAAATTTTACTGATTGGCTTTCTATGTTTATCTGTGAGTCTGTCCTAGGCCTAGGTCCCTTGCCTGGGGATTGGAGTTGATTCATAGTAAGTGAACCTCTATGAAGCACTGGTCCTGGCTAAGGCATGTAGTGGCCTGTGAGGCCAGAGATACCTCAAAGGGCAAGATAAGGTCACAGCTGTGGACACTCTGGCTCCAACCCCAATTAACAAGGTAGAGATTGCGGCTGCAAAGATTACTCCTACAGTCTCACTTCTACCATGTCTTCATGATAAGACAGCACTACTAAATTAACTTTATTCATGACTTGGAGACATCCTTGAAGTGACTTCCAAGATCCTGCTCATTGCCTGCACCTTCCTCAGTTTCTCTGCCCTTTGTCCTTGGTCCTAATATAAGTGGACTGATCCAGAGAATCCTTTGTCTTTATCCTCGAAGCCTTGAGCTTAACTAAAGGGTTTTGACCCTCCTGGAGCCCTAAAAAATCATTCAATTTGTCTCTTTTTATTTAACCTCCGCTGTACACTCATTTGGGAGATCGAGGATCTAGGACAGAACTTGATATGCACCAAAGGGACAGAGAGTGACATTTGAAGGGGAAGGCTCCATGAAAGGCCTTGGCCACAGCTACTGGCAAGGGTAGCATGTAGTCCAGCATGTCAGGTTGCCAGAACCCTGGGTGGGCTGCAGACCTCAGAAGGGCAAGAAGCAGGCTTCATGGTGATCACTGTACTCATGGAAAGGAACTGGCTTGAGTCCTGCACTGGGGGTGGATTGGGGAGCTCACTGTTTTGGCCAGAAGAGAAAGAGTAAGGGCCCCAAACTCTGGGAGCAGGAGAGGGTGGAGGAGGTTGCTATGGCAGCTGCTGGGTGTTTGAAGGCCATATAAGTGAAGGAGAAGTTTCTAATGGAGTAGACATTTCTTCTGGGAGTGATGTGGTTAGCTGTATGTGAAGAGACTTGAACTTCTAGAAATGTTTGGAAATGAAGGGAAAGTTAGGGAAGGGAAGTAACAAGCCAGGTGCTTTTTCTATGAGATAACTCCGAGATATTATTGCATCCAGTTTACAGAAAAAGAAATCAAGATGCAGAGAGGTAAACAAAATACCCAAAGTTCACACACCTAGAAGAAATGGATCTGAATTTGAATTTAGGTGAGCTTGCTTCCAAAGCCTATATCTTTACCATGTGTCTTTACATGTGCCGGAGACTGGACTGTGACTAAAGGGGGCCAGTTCTAGGAACCAGAAGTGGTGGTCAAAGAAGTGTGTGAATGCGCGCGCGCGTGTGTGTGTGTGTGTGTGTGTGTGTGTGTGTGTGTGTGTGTGCATATTTGTGTGTGGTTGTTGGGGGGAGGATGGCTGAAGTATATGAGTGGGACTGGGACTGGGGGAGATGAGGAGGGAGAAATTGGACTGAAAATTTGGGACTTAATGTGTAATTGTTTAGTTTTCAAAGTTTGTGAAGAGTTGTCCTAAGTTAGTACCTTTACTTAGTAGTTATATTTTAAGGATATACTGGAGGCAAGGAAAGGTTGGGTGGCTGATCAGAAGGTGAATTTTATTTTCAACTTCTGCTCACACTGCTTTGGAGTAAACAAAAACATTAAAGTAAGACAATTTTGAAATCCAGAAAGCTATTGCTTGGAGCTGCTTGGTTGTAAAGAGAGAATTTGCTGATACTTGTTGCCCATATATTTTAATTGGGAAATAAGGTGATGGAGGTCTCTCTTGGTAGAAGAGAAAAACAGTGAACAGTTCTGAGCTTACTTATCCTCTCTGTAGTACAACTGGAATGTCTTCTCCTAAACACTGCATATACACCCTGGTCAGAACATCCCAGAAGCCCAGTGCTCAAGTTCAGCCCAGAAATGCCAGGAAGGATTAGGCAGAATTTGCAGTGTCCTAGTGACTTAGAGAGGATATATTAGCCCTTCTAAGTCTAATCCCTTACCTGACAGGTTGTGTTGGCTCTGTTGTTTCTTTAAAT